AGGTTTAGATTCAGTCCAAAGGTAGCTTTTGTATAGTCAGGTTTTATTTATTGCTCCAGCCTCATTTCGTTTGGCCTTTTGTGCATGGGAATAAATAATTATTTGTGCATTATTGTGTTTTAACTTCGTACATATATACACATAGTAGTGGCCAAAAGTGTATCCAAAAGGGATACTTGTACAATATTTGCCTTTAATTACCCTACAAGGACCCTAAATTAAAGTGTTACCAAAAAATGCTTTCAGGAAATAAAGCGTGTGTGTGTGTGTGTGTGTGTGTGTGTGTGTGTGTGTGTGTGTGTGTGTGTGTGTGTGTGTGTGTGTGTGTGTGTGTGTGTGTGTGTGTGTGTGTGTGTGTGTGTGTGTGTGTGTGTGAATGTATATATACACTCACCTAAAGGATTATTAGGAACACCTGATCAATTTCTCATTAATGCAATTATCTAATCAACCAATCACATGGCAGTTGCTTCAATGCATTTAGGGGTGTGGTCCTGGTCAAGACAATCTCCTGAACTCCAAACTGAATGTCAGAATGGGAAAGAAAGGTAATTTAGGCAATTTTGAGCGTGGCATGGTTGTTGGTGCCAGACGGGCCGGTCTGAGTATTTCACAATCTGCTCAGTTACTGGGATTTTCACGCACAACCATTTCTAGGGTTTACAAAGAATGGTGTGAAAAGGGAAAAACATCCAGTATGCGGCAGTCCTGTGGGCGAAAATGCCTTGTTGATGCTAGAGGTCAGAGGAGAATGGGCCGACTGATTCAAGCTGATAGAAGAGCAACTTTGACTGAAATAACCACTCGTTACAACCAAGGTATGCAGCAAAGCATTTGTGAAGCCACAACACGCACAACCTTGAGGCGGATGGGCTACAACAGCAGAAGACCCCACCGGGTACCACTCATCTCCACCAGGAAAAAGAGGCTACAATTTGCAAGATCTCACCAAAATTGGACAGTTGAAGACTGGAAAAATGTTGCCTGGTCTGATGAGTCTCGATTTCTGTTGAGACATTCAGATGGTAGAGTCAGAATTTGGCGTAAACAGAATGAGAACATGGATCCATCATGCCTTGTTACCACTGTGCAGGCTGGTGGTGGTGGTGTAATGGTGTGGGGGATGTTTTCTTGGCACACTTTAGGCCCCTTAGTGCCAATTGGGCATCGTTTAAATGCCACGGCCTACCTGAGCATTGTTTCTGACCATGTCCATCCCTTTATGGCCACCATGTACCCATCCTCTGATGGCTACTTCCAGCAGGATAATGCACCATGTCACAAAGCTCGAATTATTTCAAATTGGTTTCTTGAACATGACAATGAGTTCACTGTACTAAAATGGCCCCCACAGTCACCAGATCTCAACCCAATAGAGCATCTTTGGGATGTGGTGGAACGGGAGCTCCGTGCCCTGGATGTGCATCCCACAAATCTCCATCAACTGCAAGATGTTATCCTATCAATATGGGCCAACATTTCTAAACAATGCTTTCAGCACCTTGTTGAATCAATGCCACGTAGAATTAAGGCAGTTCTGAAGGGGAAAGGGGGTCAAACACAGTATTAGTATGTGTTCCTAATAATCCTTTAGGTGAGTGTATACTAGAGATGCACTGATTTATCGTCTAATAATCGGTATCGGCCGTTAAAAGCAATTATTTTCACTATCAGCCATTAAAAACAGCCGATGATCAGGTAAACAGATCAGGGCCGATAATATCCTGTCAATCAAAAGGGGGTGGGAAAGCATGTCAGACTGCAACTCATACTTTGTGTGAAGAAAATGTATGTTGTGTTGAATTTAGGGCAAGTTAATAAGACAATAATGCATTAACAGTTAAAAAACAACAACAACATAAAAGTATGCTCTATTTGACCCGTAGTTCAAGCCAGGGTTGCCAGGTCCCCATTTTTTCCCTTGACCAAACATTATTTTTAGTACGGCTCCCATCAAATAATCGCAAAAGAGCTTTGTGCTTTGTTACTTGTGATAATAAACAAAGTCTCGGCTTTCAAATTCTGTCCATTTTATCACGGAATTCAATCAATAAATGGCGTTTTGACACTCAATGTGATGTATAAATGTGACCTAACGGATCGCTGTAGCCGCCTCAGTTCAAGCTGCAGCGCGAGTCATCTCTTCCACTTTAATACAAGTTATAGCATGAAAAAACTTGTTTTAACATCAAAAGATATGTTGATACAGTACAACTTACCGAAACGAAACATGTCTGATGTAATCGCTCAATCAGGGTTTCAACTGCGTAAAGACGCCAATAAAACAGCTTGTGAACAGTTAGTCATGTAACATTGTATTTACCTCAGGAAAGTTATCCAGTGTTCACAGTTTGTTAGTTAGCTATCAAAAACACTAGAGAGGAGCTTATTTGCTGTTATTTATATATTTATATATATATGTATGTTTGAATAAATTTGCCATGAAGACAAGTGTTTATGAAAACATAACAAGTGTTTATACAAACATTTCAGGTTTTGAGTGTAATTAATATTTCTGAAAATATAAACCAGTTGAATATAATAGCTCTGTTATAGATTATAATAGTATAGTATAGTAACTAATATTATAGTAATGTACCAAATGAAAAGGTTCCCTGTCGAGTTAAGTCAAGTCACCTTCATTTATATTGCGCTTCTAACAATACAGATTGTTTCAAAGCAGCTTTACAGTGATAATAGAAAATTAATGGAACAGAGATTTTGGTTTTACAGTAGCTCTAAAAAACTAAAACCAGAAAAACTTGTAATGCGTTTTGGCCGTTCATTTGCATGACAACGGTGTTTGGTGGCTCGATAACGCAAACTGCCACTGTTACTGCATTAGTTTGGAGAGATTGTTTTACCTTAAATAAATCAAACTATCAGTATCAGCAGATATCATTCTGAATATTCGGCTATCAGTATCAGTGGAGAAATTTTGTATCAGCACATCTATAATATATATATATCAGTTGTTAATACAGGTATTTCATTGGTTCTCCCTTGTTTCATTCATCTGGGTATTATGCAAACTTTTTGCATGTCTACCTAAATTCATTCCAAAGCCAAGATTCATTCGTCAACTTTGATTCAAGTTTAGAATTTTTCAAAGGATTTCAGTTGGATTAAGGAATGCCTTCGCTGCCCACCATCATTGTGTGTGGGGGGGGTGTTTGTGATGGTTATTGTGTTAGAAATCACATGTTCAATCTCCAAACAGATCCTCCATACCCGCCTTGCAGTGCGAGATGAAACTGGAGGTTCCTTACAATTGCACATCTCATCCCAGACTTTGGAAGTTAATTTAAAAATTAGAAATTTAATTTTTAAAATGGCTCACTAGTCTTCTTTGACTGGCCCAGTGCTCTACATTATGCATTTTACCTGTCTCACGGTGCTTTGCGATAATTCTGCAGGCATTCAAACCCAGCAAATGAGCAATAGCTTATCTAATGTCAATTGACCAGATTTAGAGTTGCAGAGGACAGCTCCTTCCTTTTGGCCATTTTCACTAAAACCCACAAAATAATGTCTAATGATATAGTGAGAGCCAGCCACAGTGATTGATTGAATTATAGGGAGGAAATAATGAGTATAAACTTTGAATCTCATTTTAGCAAAAAAAAAAAAATGTCTGCACAATTCTGCATGTTTCATTGTGTTATCACAAATGAAACAATTGAAAGCACAGAGTGTACATTAGTTTTACACTCTTTGCACAACTATGCAATAAGCTTAAAAAAGCTTTAATACATTTTAATATGTTTGAATAAAGGCAAATGACATAAATTTTAGCCACTACTGTGTATATTCATGCGCTCAAAATGTCACTTGCAACAGATAAAGGGATATAGTGGATATAGATAAAGTGTTCTGTGCCAATATTAATATTATTTCAATTAATTATTATTTTATGTCATATTCTATTAATATTATTTTTTCTGTACAATAAAAATGTTGGTATTGTGTTGGATTATCATTAGAAGGATACTGCTCTAAACAATTATTTATTTATTTATTTTTTCAAATCAAGACCCTTGATACTTACTTTTACTTCAGTGACTTGTGTGGTCAGTTTGAGGAGAAGTTAGAAACATCAATCGATTGTTTTAGACATTTGTGCTACTTTAGATCTAATGCCAGCATTGTCTCAGAGAGAAGGCAGATAAATCTTTAGTTTTAATAGTGTCTCTTAGTTCACATGCCAGAGAGGCAAAATGAAGCCGTAATTACAAGTCTTAATTGATGTGTTTTTACCTTGATAGACCATAGCTCTGCTCTCCTTGCTCTTTTCAGACTGTGGCTTGGCTAGCTGTTGTTTGCTCTATATTTCTCTGCGTATTGATTGCTATTATGGCAAATCCAATGGGCACAATAGAACTCTATCAGCAAAATACAGGTTAATTATCTTGAGGTCAGGCGGTCTCAGATGCACACAAAGGGCTTATCCTCTTCACACATTACAACCTAACATTAAATCGTGAGCATAAATTATCACCAAGGTTTTTTTTTTTCATTCAGCAAATGAACTGGCAATTGGAAGGAGAGCAGTGTTTAAGCATCGACATCTGAGAGTTTAGATGTTTGGCAACTTTTGTTCTTTTTTTTAAGAGCCATTTGCTCTTTATTGTCAAAATGATTATCTCCAACTACTATTCAGGTCTTTATGGTACTTATTAGATCATGGTAAATGATTTTTCTGTTGATTATACGGTGTGAAATAATTTTTACTAATTGAGATTTGACTCTTATTATAAACACACATGTTCTACTAATAAGAAGCCATGGAAGCCAGAATCTTTCTTTTCACTGGTGGTGAAACAGTGCAGACCTTTGACTGAAGGCAAAAAGTGATATTTTTGCTAAGTGGAGTGGGGAGCTGTCGGACGTTTTACTTATGCCTGACTGATTGGCCTTATAAGCGGCCGAGAGGCTCGTCAATGAGCTTGAGTTAATGGCATTGATTGTGGATATTGTGCTTTTTTCCCCGGCTCCTGCAGGGACTCCAGTGAATCGGATTCCTATCATGGCCAAGCAGGTGTTGGATCTCTACACTCTCTACAAGCTTGTCACCGAAAAAGGCGGCTTAGTGGAAGTCATCAATAAGAAAATATGGCGCGAGATTACCAAAGGCCTGAACCTTCCTACCTCCATCACCAGCGCGGCTTTCACCCTCCGAACACAGTGAGTGAGATAACTTCAGACGAGAACAACTTGTTGATAACTGCCAGTTGATTCTTGTCTATCTTATCCAATTTAATTATCTGCTTTTAAAATAGAGAGAGTGAAGACAGTGTATTTTACAGTGTTTGGTAAAAGTAAGAAAGAGGTTTTTACAAAGATAGGCTACATTTGTTCAGCAAAATTGAGATCCATCAAGCAAACAATAATGCTGTGTAAGCATTGCTTTAATATAGACTAGGGCTCGCTATTTAACTTCAAATGCGGCATTCATAGTGGACGAATAAAACAACACAGTGGCCAAAGACATTTTCCATGTTTAAAAATATGTCAGAGATCGAAGTCAAGAATGCATCCTGTGTGAACAACCCACACCCCTGTGTGAAGAAGACACATTGACACACTTGATTGCAAAATGGATTGCTGTAGACAATATATTGACTTCTAAACCTGCTTTTTGTTTATCCAATGGTTTCCTCATCTAACACAATATATAACACAAATGTATTTAAATTATATTCATTTTGGGGAGTTTCTTGATATATTGATGCACACTACCATTCAAAAATGTAAGATTTATTAATGCTTCTGAAAGAAGTATCTTATAAGCCTGCATTTATTTGAATATAGTAAAGTTATTATGCTGCTTAATATTTTTGTGGGAAAACGTAACACTTTTTTCAGATTTAAAAAAAGAAGAAAAAAAGAACAGCATCACACATGTATCCTTGTTAAATAAAAGTATTAATTTCTTCTTTAAAATATCTTACTGATCCCAAACTTTTGAATAGTAGTCTATACGAGTATTGTATTTAATTTGATTAAACACCAATAAAGAGAATTCAACTTTTCCCAAAGTTAACATTTGAATTAATTTTACTTTTGACTCAATTTACACTTTATGAAACATCATGTTGTTGTATGCGTGTAGGAAATATAGTACTAGTTCTGTTACTACTTTCTATGTAAATCCATGACCTGCTTGACGAACACATGAACTTGTTTGTGCATGTCCACTCTCAGCACTGTAATTTAACACAAATACATTACTCTCAATGACATCCAGTAGACCTGTAGAAGACACAATGACAATCATTATAGGCCCTTTTCACATGACGTCACACAACTTCCGTTCTGACTCAAAGCAGTGTATGTTTACTTCCGCCGGCATAGTGGAACGTGCTACCAAAGAGTATTTGACGCGATGGAGTTTACACAGTCCCTTCAACACCTGCCAAAAATACATCTAGATGATGTACAGCGACTTGCAGACAAATTTTCCCTTACAACCACTGATCTATATAATGACATTCTATATAGATCAGTGCTTACAACACGTTCCAAGCTTGACAAAGGATATAAATTCTTCATTGAGCAGTACTTGTTTGCGTTAGTGTCTTACCTTTACCCCAGTCATTCCAGGGGAATCTAGATGGCGTTGCTCCTTTCTTAATCCTGGTTCGTCCACTGGTTGATGTACATATATCCTCTGGGGTAAAGTGCTGACTACACACGTAAGTGCTCCCACGGAGGATTTTAAAACTCGGGCCCTCGTCTCTTTTGATCGCCCTAACCCAACGTGCACGTATTTCAGCGTCCACTGGAAAATCGTGGAAACTTAAATAAGGAAATGTATGTTTGTTGTTTGAACAACAAGGAACACTACAATAGCATCTACAAGATGACTGTGCCATGCTTATTGGATGGGAAACTGTTATGGACACAGGAATGAAATGAATGATAAATCACATCAGCATATGGAAATGGTTTGACATTGTGCTAGCTTTGATAAAAATTTAACACTTGTTAGTAAACTTCTGGCAATACACGGGCTGACCGTGATTAACAGTTATCTTGGTGTCACACGCAATAAGTTACTGGAAATGATCATTAACGTCATCAAAGTAATCTAAATATAAGAACCAATAATGCTACATACATAAACATTATTATTATTTTAATTTTAACTTTCGTGTTGTTGGTGATCACCTTATGCGTTTTCCTGAAGTAACTTTAACCAGCGCGCGCAAGTTAAAACGGAAGTATGTTTACACTGCTTTGCGGAAAAGCGGAAGTTATCTGACGTCATTGTGAAAAGGGCCTATTCAGTTGATCATGAGCCTATTTAAAAAATGCTCTATGTATTGTAGACAGTTGAACAAACATCTCTCATCTAGGTCATGTAAATAGAGGAATGCAGGAAATCTAGATTTCACAGCACTGTTGAGAGCAAGAATGTGCACTCACTACATTATGGTGTAGTGTTCCCCCCTCCTTTATTTTCAAAAATGTAAATGACAGTAAATATATTCATTAAATATATAATAGGGTGATTGATTATTAAAACAATAGATATACTGTTCGAAATACAGACAAAAGTTTTGTGTTTCTGTCAGCTGTTAGTGGAACATAAAGTTAATGTGATGAACTACACATTTGGTTACTCTGCTATTACACCTGTGTGTAACACTTACAGATGAACATAAAAATAAATGAGGACAGAGTTATATGAGATTGCTTAGAACTCATGATTAAATAAATGTTAAAAACACTGTATATTTCACTACTCGGCGGCAGCACAAAAACCTGCATCTTACCTTTTGATACTCAAATGTTGTTTGGTGCTTAGGAGTAATGCAGATGAATTCTTTATTCAAGACCTCTATATTTTTCAATGATATCTGGTTGAACATGCATAAGTGTAAGATGGGTTCTGTTCTGTAACTATAACCTGCCAATACCGATTTTTGCCGATTCCGATTTTATTTTATTTTAAAACTATAATTGACAGTATATACAAACAAAAGTCTACTTTTTGTCAATGTAAAAAAAATTTTTTTTTTTAAAACAAGTAAAAACACAGTAATGAAAAAGAAAACAACAGCACAAATAAATGCAATAGAGTTAAAAGAGATATGAAAGAAACACTGCTTTAAGTTTTTTAAGTGGGTGTACAGTATATTCAGGTAAGATATACAGACGTTACAAGTAATCAAATGTAAAATAACACTGGTTAGTTTTCATTGTCAAAATTAAATACAGATTAATGCTTACAGTTAGTTACACAAGATATTCAGTCAAGAGCAGAGAGTGATTTTCTTTGTCCTTTGCTCTTTTATTAAAGGTTCTCTAAGCGATCCTGGGTGACGTCACTTCTTGTTGACGTTCGAACTATTGTCAAACAAAACGGAGGCTAGCTAGACCCTCCCTCCTCCTCATCCGCACACTAACCCCCCAAACCACACCCCCAAACCCTTCTTGTCGGTCATTGGCTGGAACAGTTTGTTATGTTTTGGGGAGCGGGTCGCTGCAGTTTGTTTTTGGTGCTGTTTGTGAAGCATGGGCTGTCTACAGAGATCGCGTTTCTTTACAGTGTGTTCAGGGGACAGGCAGCCAGCGGATAGTGAGGAGATGTTTGCTGTATGTGACAAAAAATGTTTTGGCCTAAAAAACACATGACATCGCTTAGAGCACCTTTAACATGACAGACAACAGCAGGAATATTAGGCTGCTGTCACTTTAAGAGTTTTTGCACGGATCCAATTTACTGTTACACAACATGCGTTATCTTTCTCAACTAATTATGTTTCAAAACTGACTTTGTTTAACTGAGTACTTCCCAAAATGGGCATTTTGGCATAATTTTGTGTGTATTTGACCATTAATCGCAGTACGCCACTCATTTTGGTACTTGGGGTACTAACAATTTGGTACTAACAAACTGCTTGAGACTGAGATACTTGTATAGATCAGTGGTGCGCGCTCTTTGGTGTGAGCGCGAAACCTGCAGGAATTTGTCAAATTATGCGTAATACAAGCACTATTTAATCGGAGCAAGTGAGTGAGAGGAGATGTGTGTGTATGTCACTTTGCCGTCGGAGAGAAGAGAGCGAGAATGCGCAGCTGACGTTATTGCCTGTGCCGCTGGCAACAAAATGGCTCAGAATCGTTAAGACATGAGACTGACCGGCCGTTCACCAGTCCAGGCCAATCGTGGAAAAACGTCTGATTCCGGTCCCTGGTCGGTCGATCGGTGCATCTTATACAATGACGTTCATATCTTTTTCAATGTGACTTTAGCGTCCAAACACTTTTTATTAGAGGTGGGAATTTTTAGGCATCTCGCGATCCTATTCCAAAATGATTATTGATCTACATTTTTCTATTATTATTAGTATACCGACTTTAAATCTTAAATGTATTTGTCCACGATTACCCTTGTAATTCAACCTTTTCGACACATAGACACATTCACATAGTGCCATCGCGCATCTGCGGTTAAATTCTCTGAATCGATTAAGAGAAAATCGCAATGCATCGGAGAATAAATTTTTTGTTTCTCCCACCCCTACTGTTTATTAGCTGTAGTGTCATTGTGATTAGGTTGTACATCACAGAACATGTTTCATGTTCTGTCTTTTGTTCTCTACAGGTATATGAAGTACCTCTATCCTTATGAATGTGAAAAGCGGGGACTGAGCTCTCCCGGGGAGCTTCAGGCAGCTATCGACAGCAATCGTCGGGAAGGGCGGAGACAGAGTTATGGCTCCACCCTCTTCAACTACTCCCCTGTGGGCACCCCCACACTGCTGTCTTCCCCCAAACTCCAGATGCCCCACATCAGCATGTCCAACGGCGGGCACATGACTCAGACCTCTGTTATCAAGAATGGTATGTGTTTGTGTTTGTGCTTGTATTTCCGTTACTACTTAAAAGTTTTTTTCTGTTAAAATACTTTAATATTAAGATGAAATTGTATGTATTTTTAACAATACAGCTGAACATACATTATTTTCCTCCTTTGCACAATAATTATTTGCTGTGTCAATAAAATAATATAGACCACGGAGAAATAAATAAAATAATAAAAGTAATTAATAAAAATAAAAATTAATTGATGTATAATCTAACCATTATAAACCAACTAAAAGTAATAGTATTATATTAATTGTTGATTTTTGAAAAGAAAGAGAAAGAAAAATGGTATTCCTCATCAGGAAATTGAATGTTATTGCAGACCATCTAAATTACAACCTAGATCCTCCAAAGGAGATGTCATCTCTCTTACACAATAACAGTGCCACTTCTTACTCACGCTTATTCCACGCTGTGGCCTGAATGGTCATCAGAGCAGACAGGAAACAGCTTGCAGGACTTCCTCTTGCCCAATCTTCCAGTTTCCGCATCACACCAGCAGGAGCAATGAAACACAAAGAGACATGGGCTACTTCATGATTCAGTAATGTGCCCATATGGAAAAGGACAAGTCACGCAACTCTTTAAGGATCAAAGACCCTTACAAATCTGATAGTAATAGTGTTTACAAAGCAGCTTTAAATAGATCTCAGTGCTTACTGCATGACTTGAGTCATACTCATACTTCCCTATCGGGATGTTATTTCTAAATCTTAATGTGTAGAATAAAAAGCTCTATTCAAATTGAGCAACTTCCTTTCCATTTGCAAAACCATTTTACAAAAAAAAAAAATTATATAATCAGTTTTAAAGTATAAGGTTTATAGTATCAAAATGAATGTCAGATAACCCTTTAGAACCTGAAGCTAAAATAGGTGTTTTTCACCGTGTGGTGAGTTTGTAAATAGAATTTGAATAGACAAAAATAAAAAAAACGCAAAATTAATTTACTGATTTTTATTTATAAAATCTGAAAAATCACAAACAACAGAAACTAACACTTTAAAGTTGAAAAATGAACTATAATACATATATACAAGTCTTTTTTGTGACACATACATATGCACGCACACATACACATGCACACACCACATGCAAAGATGCGTGAAAGAGTAACAGCCATCCGCCTCCCAAGTTTAATCAAAAATCATCCCAATCGCCTCTTCTGCTGTCTACCACTTCATTCACCATGTTTTTGTTTGTTTCTTTTATTATTTTATGCAATCCACAACACTCTAACCTGCCGCGCTTCGTATCTCTCTGTTCAAATCCTTCCTTCCCGCTCTGCCAGAAAGCTGCTATCATTTGCGCCGAAAAGCTCACGTTGTCTACTGTCAGGGGCAATTTGAATTGTTTTGATAGTGCAAACAGTTGAAGAGTTACGGTAAAATGAATACAGCTTGCTGGTATGTGTCGGCAACGACAAAGCCAGTTTAAAAGGGTTAAATAAAATAAAAAATAATAAAATACACTACCATAAAAAAAAAAAAAAAAAAGTTGGGGTCAGTAAGATTTGGGGGTGTAACGATATTCAAACCGAACTGAAAAAACGCGATACACCACCCACGGTACGTATGGCGATACTCTCATGGTGTACCAAACGCGCCCCGCCCCCTGCTGCCCCGCCCAGCCCTGGCCCATTGTTGAGGTTGACCTCACTTAACCCTTATCACAAAACTAATTTTTCTTCCTTGACATTTGATTAAATAGTAATTAGGGGTGTAACAGTACATGTATTTGTAAATACATGCGATACATTTGCGAATTTTCGTGTCTTATGTGTACAAGACGAATACAGCGTTGTAGCCGAACCACCATTAACCGCCAATAATCGCAATGAGCTCCACATTTTGTTACTTTCGATAAGAAACTAAGTGTCATTTTTCAAATTATGTCCATTTTATCACGAAATTCAAACCAAAAAATGCTGTTTTGACGCTCTTTAATGTGGCGTGACACATCACTATATAGGCGCCTCAGTTTAAGCAGCAGTGAACAGGATCATCTCTCATATTCCTAATAAACATGAATGAAAATCTGAAGGTATGTTGAAAGATACAGTACAACATACTGAAACGTATTATATCTTGTGTAATCGCTCAATCAGTGTCTCAACTGCGGAAAGACAGTAAAACAGCTTGTAAACAATATCCAATGTAGCATTACATTTACCTCAGGCAAGTGTCAACAGCTTGTTAGTCAGCTAGAGAAATTAAATCTTTCGCTAAATATATGCACTATATTAGCCTATATAATCATTATATTATTTTACTTAACCTGTTAGTGGTGTCTTGATTATTTAATGTATGTTTAAAACATCTGTCATGAAAATGACAGCCAGTGTGTAAATTATTATATTTCAACAACAAATTGGAGTAAAAACATATAATTAAATGTAGAAGTTAATGCAAAAACTGCCTTATGTGCAGTTTACATGTTTGCTTACAATTTGTTGTTATTTGAGTGTTGATTATATATCTAAAAATAAATAGCAACTGAATTTAAACTAAAAGTTTGGGCTCTGTTGTTAACCTTTAATATTGTAGTAATGTGCAATTAATGGCTCCCTATATAGTTTACAGCATTAGCAAATATCTTTTTTTTTTATCCTTAAGAAACTTTTAATTATAACTGAATTCATTTAAAGACAGAGACACAATTTGTTCAGTAAATCACTGTTAATAAAAAAAAAGCAATTTTATGTTTAGTTTTGTTGTACCGAACCGTGACGTGAAAACCGAGGTACGTACCGAACTATCAGTTTTGTGTAGCCCATAATAAGATTTATGCTTTTATACAGCAAGGACAAATTAAATTGATCGAAAGTGACAGTAAAGACATATACATATTTTGATAACACTTTACTTGAAGGGGTGTGCATAAGACTGACATGACACCTTACATGCCACATGACAGCCAATGTCAAAACCAACTACCTGACAGTTTAAGGTAATGTTAACCCATAAAGCTAAGTGATTTCTTAAGTTTGATAATTAATCTGCTATGTCGTGTTTATGACATATTTATGACAGGTTGTGTTGTCTTAGTAATGTCAAGTTGTCATGACAAAGACACTGATAGGTTATGATGTATTGGTTTATGTCAAGGTGTCATAACAAAGACATCTCAAACAATGACATATTTGCATAATTTGAATAAAAATGTCATAATTGAACGAATGACACTTAATGACAGTTGTCGTAAACATGCATAAAACCTCCTTCATATTCATGACGTGTCATGTCATGATTATGAAGGTGTCATGTTAGTCTTATGCACACCCCTTCAACTTGAATTTCCCTCGGGATAAATAAAGTATATATCTATTTATCTATCTATAAAGTGTTACCCATATTGTTTTATCATTTTAAAAAAAGATTTCTGTTTTAAATAAATGCTGTTCTTTTAAACTTTCTATTCAACAAATCCTGAAAAAAATACATCCACAAAATAAGCAGGACAACTTTTTTTAACATTAATAAATTTATATATATATTTTTTTATATATATATATATTAGGGGTGGAACGGTACATGTATTCGTATTGAACCGAAACGGTACGGGCGTCACGGTTCGGTGCACGAATTTGCACGGAGAATACACGGTACGAATAAAAAAAAAAAACTCTTAAATGGCGATAAATTTCGCTCTATTCGCTTTTGGTGTGACTGTGAACGCAGCAATGAACAGGCTGCGATCAAGATTGCAATGCTGGAGTGTGTGTGTGTGTGTGTGTGTGTGTGTGTGTGTGTGAGAGAGAGAGAGAGAGAGAGAGAGAGAGAGAGAGAGAGAGAGAGAGAGAGAGAGAGAGAGAGGGGCGCGATGAACAGTGTGTGTGTGTGCGAGAGAGAGAGAGAGAAAGGCGCGGGCGCGAATCGCGCGATCGAACAGTGTGTGTGTGTGTGTCAGAGGCACGGGCGATGAACAGTGGAAACATAAAAACATACTCCGTCATTTTTTTCCTACAGGACATCATTAAAACTGCAAATTGTTTACTTATATTTGTGTACACTCGCAATAAAACACAACTGTGCTTTTGTCACACTCTAAACTCTTGTCAAACTGTAACCTACAACTGTTAACAAAAATTTTTAATGGTAGTATTATTTTATACGGAAATCAATTATTTATAATTCAGATGAGAATAAAGTTAGGGTTAATTAAAATGAAGGAAAACAAATATATTGATCTGAAATAGCAAATTAATTTTAAATTCATTCAGGTACAATTACCAAACATATCTCAAGGTCTTTTTGTCTTTTTAATCATTTAATTAATAAACTAATTATATAAAACTACTGTCAGTGCACTACAAATAAACTGGTTCTATGCCTTTATTAATAAAACTTATTTAAAAAATACAAGGCTTAAGACCTTTATAAAAAAGCCTTCTGCATTTTTGTTTTGCTTTTCCCTCCATTGTACCGAAATCGTACCGAACCGTGATGTCTGAACCGAGGTATGAACCGAACCCTGACTTCTGTGTACCGTTCCACCCCTAATATATATATATATATTATGATTTTTTATGATTTTTTTTTTATGATTTCTGAAGGATCATGTGACACTGACTAGAGTAATTGAAAATTCAACTTTGCCATCATTGGAGTAAATTTCATTTTAATAGAAAAGTTTTTATTCTAGTAACATTTCACAATATTACCATGATTTAAAGATTGTGTTGCATTGCTGTTGCATTGTTTTCTCAACTGTTATACTTTTTATGTAAGTGTTTGGTCTAACTTCTTTGATAGTGAAAAGTCAGCTCATATTTACATTAGCTCAAAGTAGCAGTCGATTTAAATGAAATAAATGTGTAACAGCAGCCTGGCAAAATTATCCATCACAAAAGTGAGGCTATTTAAAGATATATGGTAAACTACGGGTAAATGGCACACTACTTAAATACTGACCTATAGGCACAGGTATAAGTATTGTAGGCAGTAATGCCTTAGCAGGCTAACATCTACCTGTGAAATAATGGTAAGTGTTTCAAGGAGGTGCTACTTTCCCCAAGATTTACAGTGGGGGAAATAATTATTTGATCCCCTGCTGATTTTGTAAGTTCGCCCACTTACAAAGAAATGAAGGGTCTATCATTTTTATGGTAGGTTTATTTTATCAGATAGAGACAGAATATCAACCAAAAAATCCAGAAAAACACATTATACAAAGGTTGTAAATTGATTAGCATTTGAACGAGTGAAATAAGTAATTGATCCCTAAGCAAAACATGCCTTAGTACTTGGTGGAAAAACATTTGTTGGCAAGCACAGAGGTAAGACGTTTCTTGTAATTGGTCACCAGGTTTGCACACATCTCGGGAGGGATTTTGGTCCACTCCTCTTTACAGATACTCTCAAAATCCTTCAGGTTTCTTTGTCGCTTGGCAACTCAATGTTTCAGCTCCCTCCACAGATTTCCTATAGGATTACGGTCTGGAGACTGGCTAGGCCACTCCAAGACCTTAATGTGCTTCTTCTTGAGCCACTCCTTTGTTGCCTTGGCGCGGTATGTTTTGGGTCATTGTCATGCTGGAAGACCCATCCACGACCCATCTTCAGTGTTCTGGCTGAAGAAAGGAGGTTCTCGTCCAAGATTTGATGGTAAATTGGCCCCGTCCATCGGCCCCTCAATACAGTTAAGTCGTCCTGTACCCTTAGCAGAGAAACAGCCCCAGAGCATAATGTTTCCACCTCCGTGCTTGACTGTAGGGATGGTGTTCTTGGGGTCATTTTTAGCATTTCTCTTCCTCTAAACACGGCGAGTTGAGTTGATGCCAAAGAGCTCAATTTTGGTCTCATCTGACCACAGCACTTCCTCCCAAGCCTTCTCTGAATCGTTAGATGTTTATTGGCAAACTTCATACGGGCTTCTACATGTGCCTTCTTGAGCAGGAGGTCCTTGCGAGTGCTGCAAGATTTCAATCCATTGCGGTGTAGTGTGTTACCAATGGTTTGCTCGGTGACTGTGGTCCCAACTGCCTTGAGATCATTAACAAGCTCCTCCCGTGTAGTTCTGTGCTGATCCCTCACCTTTCTCATGATCATCTTAACCCCACGAGGCACGATCTTGCATGGAGCTACAAACCGAGGGCGATTGCCTTTTCATTGCTATTTCTGAATAATCACACCAACAAAAGTCTCCTTCTCACCAAGCTTCTTGCTGATGGTCTTGTTGCCCATTCCAGCCTTGTGCAGGTCTACAATCTGGTCCCTGACATTTGACAGCTCTTTGGTGTTGCCCATGGTGGTGGAGAGGTTGGAATGGAAGATACAGATTCTGTGGACCGGTGTCCTCTGAGATTAGGACATCAGGAGTACTTTCTTTAAAGCTGCTGTCGGCAAATTTTTTTTATCATATTCAGTGAAGTCGACACTATAATCCAACAGAACAACATAAATAAAGTGGTTTTAGAAAAAAACCTGAGCTTCTAACTCCACCTGGAGCGTGTTATTTGTTTTGCAAAAATCCACAGCTCCCGGATCATCATGTCCAATCAGCGCAGGGGGGTGTGAGATCTGACTGTCAATCACAGATCGAGCACACGCCACCCCTCACGCACTTTACAATCACATGCACACGCCTGAAGTTCGCGCAGTAACGAAGAGTGATGGCGGATGTATCTCGCTTTCAAAACACTAACAAATCAAGTAAGCTCATTTAGAGTATAAATGACATTAGCAATTGCAATCTATCGGTAGATTAGCCAGGGCAGCATACCTCCAAATACTCCATGGTGTTGATGGATGCTGATTAGACGGGCGTGTTCACAGATAACCTGGTGCACACGCACTGACGAGCACGAACTCTGTGGGAGGGTATCCGTTGATAGTGGGGGAGGGGCATGAGAGTTGTAAACATTCAAAATTTTGCCTAAGTCCACTCAATCTGCCAGACTTGCCGACTTCAGCTTTAAGTGACAGGACTAATCTGTGTTCCACATGGCACATAACCAATCTGTGGGAGGTAGAATTCTTGCTGGTTGGTAGGAGATCAAATACTTATTTCACTCGAGCAAATGCTAATCAATTTACAACCTTTATATAATGTGTTTTTCTGGATTTTTTGGTTGATATTCTGTCTCTATTCATTAAAATAAACCTACCATAAAAATTATAGACCCTTAATTTCTTTGTAAGTGGGCGAACTTACACAAACAGCAGGGGATCAAATAATTATTTCCCCCACTAGGTGGTCCACTATTTTTGGTTTGCTGTTAAAGTGTTCTGCCACCTGAAAATATTTGTACTGTACTGTCTTAGTACTGTCTTATAGTCGCATATACAAATACTTCATGATGCTATCTTGCCCCACAGAGGACTCAATGCTGTCCAGCTGCCTGACTAACAGGGTGGGCATCCCTGTGTCTTTGGCCAGCCACCACAGTGCGGCCCAGGCTGCAGCGGCTCAGGCTGCAGCTGCAGCAGCTGTACAGGCGGCCACGTTGGAGCAGCTACGGGAGAAGCTGGAGTCTGGAGAGCCACCGGAGAAGAAAGTGATGCTCATGGCAGAGGAGCAGCAGAGGATAATGCAGCATGCGTTGCAGCAAAATCTGTTCGCCATGGCAACCCAGCTACCCATGAACATCAAACTGAACAACAGAGGTGGGGGCAAGGAATGCAAAGATGGTTCTCACATATTTTTGCCCTGTATGTGTTTTTACAAAAAATCTCTTTATTTTTATTTTGTGTAAAAAAAAAGTAAGATGCAAACTTGTGTGCAAATATAATATAAATGGCAGTAAAGTGAAGTGTTTCCCTAGAGTGACCCATAAAATCCTGTGGACTGAGTCAATAGTGAGACGAGAGAGAGCATTATGGGTCAAATAATGTAGATTAGGGCAGAGGAGTTTATTTACTCTAGGCTGAGTAAAGATCACAAATAACCAGCAGCTGGGAAAGCCCTCGGGTTTGACTGCCACACATAGCATGACAAAACATTAACCTTCCAATTTTCCCTCACCAAACTGAGGTAATTAATGAATAACACTTTATTGATGAATAATTTATGAATGACACATTTTTATTTTATTTATTGATGACACTAAGATAAGGGTCACCTATGAGAGGATTGAGACGTTCTCAAAACAATACTGAAGGAATTTATGAAAAATATTTTATTTATGAATAATTGTTTATGAATGACACATTTTATTTTGTTTCATGACACTATGATAAGGTGTCTCCTGTGTCAAAAAGAATGATAAGAGTTTGATACATTCTCAAAAAACAAACATCTATTTAATTAGGTGTGAAAAAATGGTAAAACTTAACTGATGAAGAAAAGTGATTTCTGTCGGGCCGTTTGTCTGATGTTAATGATTTCAGTGCACCTTCATCACTTAATGACAGTGTGTCATGATTGCAGGCTGGTCATGAGTAATGTTGTGTTGTCTTCTACGTGACTTACTCTTATACCACCCACAAAATCAAGAGCCTTGTTATATGGTGGGACAATGTAGCATAGTTCTGTAATGCTGAGCAGGAATTTCATACAGAATTACTCTGCAATTTAAAGATTATATTAAATGTTATTTTGTGTAACCTTCACACAAGTATTCAAAGTAATGACAGAGTAAAAACTGAAAGTCCTGACAGATGCTAACTTTATGGAAATAGGAATGTGATTTATCTCTTTTTTGACTCAAAAATAAATCTAATGGTCTTCTACTTAAAGGGGATAGTTAATACGAACATGAAAATTCTGTCATTTACTCAACCTCATGTTGTTTCAAACCCATAAGACTTTAGTTCATCTTCAGAACACAGATGAAGATATTTTTCTGTCTCTCCATTGATAGTCTATTCACTTAAAACTCTGATGAATCGGTCGGTTTAATCCAATAATTATGAAGAGAAATTATCACCTTATATGATAAGTAGATCAGATTTAGGCTTGCATTCACATATAAACATTAGCGAACCTACATAGAGCATTAAAATTTGGTAAACGGAAGCTCAATGATTCTTGCTTGATGTGCAAGAACCAATGAGGTTCATTCTCGTGTTACGCAGCACGTTTGAGCTTCTGCAAGAACCAATGAGGTTCATTCTTGTGTTACGCAGCACGTTTGAGCTTCTGCAAGAATCAATGAGGTTCGTTCTCGTGTTACGCAGCACGTTTGAGCTTCTGCAAGAACCAATGAGGTTCATTCTCGTGTTACTCAGCACGTTTGAGCTTCTGCAAGAACCAATGAGGTTCATTCTTGTGTTACGCAGCACGTTTGAGCTTCTGCAAGAATCAATGAGGTTCGTTCTCGTGTTACGCAGCACGTTTGAGCTTCTGCAAGAACCAATGAGGTTCATTCTCGTGTTACTCAGCACGTTTGAGCTTCTGCAAGAACCAATGAGGTTCATTCTTGTGTTACGCAGCACGTTTGAGCTTCTGCAAGAACCAATGAGGTTCATTCTCGTGTTACGCAGCACGTTTGAGCTTCTGCAAGAACCAATGAGGTTCGTTCTCGTGTTACGCAGCACGTTTGAGCTTCTGCAAGAACCAATGAGGTTCGTTGTTGTGTTACGCAGCACGTTTGAGCTTCTGCAAGAACCAATGAGGTTCATTCTCGTGTTACGCAGCACATTTGAGCTTCTGCAAGAACCAATGAGGTTCATTCTTGTGTTACGCAGCACGTTTGAGCTTCTGCAAGAACCAATGAGGTTCGTTGTTGTGTTACGCAGCACGTTTGAGCTTCTGCAAGAACCAATGAGGTTCATTCTCGTGTTACGCAGCACATTTGAGCTTCTGCAAGAACCAATGAGGTTCGTTCTCGTGTTACGCAGCACGTTTGAGCTTCTGCAAGAACCAATGAGGTTCGTTCACGTGTTACGCAACACGTTTGAGCTTCTGCAAGAATCAATGAGGTTCATCCTCGTGTAACGCAGCACGTTTGAGCTTCTGCAAGAACCAATGAGGTTTGTTCTTGTGTTACGCAGCACGTTTGAGCTTCTGCAAGAACCAATGAGGTTCATTCTCGTGTTACGCAGCACGTTTGAGCTTCTGCAAGAACCAATGAGGTTCTTTCTCGTGTTACGCAGCACGTTTGAGCTTCTGCAAGAACCAATGAGGTTCGTTCTCGTGTTACGCAGCACGTTTGAGCTTCTGCAAGAACCAATAAGGTTCGTTCACGTGTTACGCAACACGTTTGAGCTTCTGCAAGAACCAATGAGGTTCATTCTCGTGTTACGCAGCACGTTTGAGCTTCTGCAAGAACCAATGAGGTTCGTTCTCGTGTTACGCAGCACGTTTGAGCTTTTGCAAGAACCAATGAGGTTCGTTCTCGTGTTACGCAGCACGTTTGAGCTTCTGCAAGAACCAATGAGGTTTGTTCTCGTGTTACGCAGCACGTTTGAGCTTCTGCAAGAACCAATGAGGTTCGTTCACGTGTTACGCAACACGTTTGAGCTTCTGCAAGAACCAATGAGGTTCATTCTCGTGTTACGCAGCACGTTTGAGCTTCTGCAAGAACCAATGAGGTTCGTTCACGTGTTACGCAGCACGTTTGAGCTTCTGCAAGAACCAATGAGGTTCGTTCACGTGTTACGCAGCACGTTTGAGCTTCTGCAAGAACCAATGAGGTTCATTTTCGTGTTACGCAGCACGTTTGAGCTTCTGCAAGAACCAATGAGGTTCTTTCTCGTGTTGCGCAGTACGTTTGAGCTTCTGCAAGAACCAATGAGGTTCATTCTCGTGTTACGCAGCACGTTTGAGCTTCTGCAAGAACCAATGAGGTTCGTTCACGTGTTACGCAGCACGTTTGAGCTTCTGCAAGAACCAATGAGGTTCGTTCACGTGTTACGCAACACGTTTGAGCTTCTGCAAGAACCAATGAGGTTCATTCTCGTGTTACGCAGCACGTTTGAGCTTCTGCAAGAACCAATGAGGTTCGTTCACGTGTTACGCAGCACGTTTGAGCTTCTGCAAGAACCAATGAGGTTCGTTCACGTGTTACGCAGCACGTTTGAGCTTCTGCAAGAACCAATGAGGTTCGTTCACGTGTTACGCAGCACGTTTGAGCTTCTGCAAGAACCAATGAGGTTCGTTCACGTGTTGCGCAGTACGTTTGAGCTTCTGCAAGAACCAATTAGGTTCGTTCTCGTGTTACGCAGCACGTTTGAGCTTCTGCAAGAACCAATGAGGTTCGTTCACGTGTTACGCAGCAGGTTTGAGCTTCTGCAAGAACCAATGAGGTTCATTCTCGTGTTACGCAGCACGTTTGAGCTTCTGCAAGAACCAATGAGGTTGGTTCTCGTATTACGCAGCACGTTTGAGCTTCTGCAAGAACCAATGAGGTTCGTTCTCGTGTTACGCAGCACATTTGAGCTTCTGCAAGAACCAATTAGGTTCGTTCTCGTGTTACGCAGCACATTTGAGCTTCTGCAAGAACCAATGAGGTTCATTCTCGTGTTACGCAGCACGTTTGAGCTTCTGCAAGAACCAATGAGGTTGGTTCTCGTATTACGCAGCACGTTTGAGCTTCTGCAAGAACCAATGAGGTTCGTTCTCGTGTTACGCAGCACGTTTGAGCTTCTGCAAGAACCAATTAGGTTCGTTCTCGTGTTACGCAGCACATTTGAGCTTCTGCAAGAACCAATGAGGTTCGTTCACGTGTTACGCAGCAGGTTTGAGCTTCTGCAAGAACCAATGAGGTTCATTCTCGTGTTACGCAGCACGTTTGAGCTTCTGCAAGAACCAATGAGGTTGGTTCTCGTATTACGCAGCACGTTTGAGCTTCTGCAAGAACCAATGAGGTTCGTTCACGTGTTACGCAGCACATTTGAGCTTCTGCAAGAACCAATGAGGTTTGTTCTCGTGTTACGCAGCACGTTTGAGCTTCTGCAAGAACCAATGAGGTTCGTTCACGTGTTACGCAGCACGTTTGAGCTTCTGCAAGAACCAATGAGGTTCGTTCTCGTGTTACGCAGCACGTTTGAGCTTCTGCAAGAACCAATGAGGTTGGTTCTCGTGTTACGCAGCACGTTTGAGCTTCTGCAAGAACCAATGAGGTTCGTTCTCGTGTTACGCAGCACGTTTGAGCTTCTGCAAGAACCAATGAGGTTCGTTCTCGTGTTACGCAGCACGTTTGAGCTTCTGCAAGAACCAATGAGGTTCATTCTCGTGTTACGCAGCACGTTTGAGCTTCTGCAAGAACCAATGAGGTTCTTTCTCGTGTTACGCAGCACGTTTGAGCTTCTGCAAGAACCAATGAGGTTCGTTCTCGTGCGTCAAACAAGTAAGGTTTAGCTTCTGTTTATGTTTGCTGATCAATCTTTATATGTGAATAAAATAATAAATTAAATCTATTCATCATATAAAATGATCATGTCTCTTCAGAAGACTTGGAAGACACCACTTGATTCAAATGGATCTCTTTATGAATGTTTGAAGCGGAGTTTTAGGTGAATAGACTTAACACGATGGAGGGACAGAAAACTCAGATTTCATTAAATATCTTCATTTTTGTTTTGATGGTGAACAAAAGTCTTATGGGTTTGGAACGAGGGTGAGTAAATGTTGAGAGAATGTTCATTTTAGGGAGAATTATCCTTTTAATTTATTTCTCTTGAATACTTTGTGTGTAATGTTTGATCGCAGTGAAGAAATGTTTATGGCACAGACATTCTGTGCAGTTCCCTATCTAGAGAAGTGAAAGCCCCATCTTTTTGACAGTTATCACCTCCCTCCCCCCCTTAAACTCTTTTAATAAACCCCTCCTTATCCTGTCACTCATGAGTTATCACCGATAGTTGGTGGCACGCTTCTCTTGCTTCTTGTGTTCCTTTTATAAATGCTCATATTGAGTTTTTCTCTTCCTCGCTCTCTGGCTCCTCTCTTGACAGATGATAGACAAGAGACTGCATTGAACCTGTCTACCAACGGCATTAGCAGCATCAACATGTCAATAGAAATAAATGGGGTTGTCTACACAGGTAAATAGAGCGCCGTTTGCTGATGTAATTGCAGGCAGGAAATTCAATAAGTTATAGCAGCACCCCCTCGCTCAGTCCTCCACACAATTTGATGTCTTTGCTATAAAATCCATCGTAATGAAGTGGCAAGTCCAATAGAGTTAAAAAAGTTAAATATCTTAAAATTGGGCCTGGGCGCCAGGAGGTCGATGGAGCTTATTGTCTTTCGTGCCCGAGAGAAAGGCCCTCCGCCTTAGCTAGATACAGTGCTTGTGCCTGATGTGCGAGAGACAGTAATTACCAGAAGATGGCTCATAAGCTTGCAGGGAACAGTTCTGGAGATCAAGTTGAAGTGGCATCCTTTTTTTTTTTACTGAAGGTTTGTTCCCTGTAATGATGTACAGCCCTTGAACATACAGCTAACAGATTTTTCTAGGGCTAAAAATGTAACCAATTAACATGTAAAAATTATATTATATTTTTTTCAAATCCAGCTGTCGTGGTGCATAACACTGAACAAAGATGTGACGTTTACATAGGCCTGTGTGAACAGCACATTAGTCTACTTCGGACAGATTGACAAACTCAGTTAAAAAAGCGGAATGCCAGTGACAAGGTTATGTTCGGAGGCATAAAAATAAAATATTAAAGCCGCTTTTTGTAAAGTCTATTCCATAATTTACTTGCCTGCCATAATAATATCTGAAATTCTCTTAGTTTGGGCACATATTCTCAGAACATGTTGATTTATGCAATTAAGTGATTAATTTGATTCACATAGCATAAATTCATGTAGCATACCATAAAATGTTTAATTAATTGTCCTCAAATTGTCTTTTCAATATCTTAGCTTTTCTTTAGTGAGCATCTGCACATTTTTTTCATATAGATTTAAACAAAAAATGACATACTTCAATATACATATATAGTATTGTGCTAATTAAAAAAATTCCCACAAAAATATAGAAACAGATTGAGCAAGGGGGTGTTGTCGTTTTTTGTAAGAATGATGGACCACATACAAATCAAATGTTTTAGATGAACGTTTTTTGACTTATACATGTAGTTTCTATTATTGCATGAAAATATTAGTAATAAAAATAATTTATAATTTTTATCACATAATATATATATTTGTAATGCATTTGAAAAACCAGTAGGTGAACTGCTGATGTTGTGTTCTGTAAGGGTGGTTTTGGTGTTTATATTCCTTGAATCTAACTTGATCTAAATATTTGTCTGCTGACTCCAGGGGTCTTGTTTGCCCGTAAGCCAGCCATTGGTTTCATGCCAGGCAGCCAGCGAGTCCATCACCAACACAGCTCTCAGGGAAAGAGCAGCAGCCCAGGGCTCAGCACCCAGATGCAGCCGTCCTCCTCCTCCTCCTCCACCGCCTCCTCACACGGACCAGCCACCTCCCCTTGAGCCCACAACACCTCTCTCACTCAACTCTCCCCCGACGTCAGATAAGGCAGGGTCTTTAGGTCATACTGTTGGACCAGTTTTTTCTGTCTCCTTCAATGTACAATGTACAATTTTTACTGTTTTTCTAACCCTCCCCCTGCAATCAGGACAAGGAGTGTCCATCACCGAAAAAACTTCCATTAAAATTAAAGGCTGAGCACCTGCAGCTGACAGCCGCACTTTTGAAATGTGTTACATTTACATATGCAGCAAGTTGCAGCTTGTAATTTTGTTCTTCTGAGGACGTGTTATTCATTGTGGAGTGACTAAAACGTATTGCGTGACAATGCCATGAACACAAGGAGCGGTGTGACGCTCGAGGGGATGGGATGTTCCTCAGACTGAGCGCTGGCCTGCTTGAATGTTGCATCAAAGCAAGATTCTTCACTCTCCTACACAGATCCTTCATTTTTGGCACAGGAGTCCTTCCTCTTCATCTTTACTCGTTGCATTCTTGAATTAAACAGCAAGAGCTATTATCAGCTATTACCAAAGAGAATAAGAGCAACCTATTAGATTAATGCCGTTTTATCACAACCATCACACATATCAAATGTCATTGCAAACTATCAGAAAAAAGCTATGGAAAGTCACCAAAATGAATTCAATCAAGTCTTGATTTTAAGCAAAGCACATCCCATTTAACTTGAAGACAAATTGTCAGGGACAAAAGTTATTTACTGTATCACTGCTTAAATTTATGTTAGGAAAGAAAAAACATCATTTTATCCATCTACACAATCTTTAAAAGACTGAGAGAATCATGAATGCTTGCCGTATGTAGAAGATCAGCCATGTTTAGCTTGATATTGAAGAAAGCAGACAGGATTAAGTCTACTTTATTCTCTCATGACTGGTTTTGGCCTGTGGCCGTGGCGAAATATATTCTATTGATTAGTGAGTTATTTGGGGAACACTTGTCGACAATGTTTAATGATTTTCCACCACCTCAGCTTGGGTTTTATAGCAAAGTGTTTTAAGTGTTCATTAAATGGTTTAGTAGATGGAAAAACGGGTCACACTGGTTAATACAGGTTTTAGAAGTCGGGGGTCAAACGATATTGTGACGTGTGACTATGAGCTGAACGTTGATCATAAAAAAATGTTCGAGTACTTAAACCAGAAAAGAGAGGCTCTTGAGAAGAAGATTATGTGCCGTGAACAGGCTGAATGTGGCTCCTCTTAGGCATCAGTTCATGAGGTGGGTTCTCTGTTGTGAATAGAATCCAATTTTCATCAAGTTTTCAACAATGCACTTGCATTTGAGAGTTCACCTCTCGTCCTTTATTCCGTTCTCCTTTTTTTTTTTTTTTTTGCTCACACTTTTTTTTTCTTTTTTTTTTTCTCTTTTCTGTTGATAAGGAAATGGGAGGATTTTATTGTGTCATTTTATTTAGAATTCAGTAGGCAATTTCAAGTTGTATTTATTATTACTTTTATTCTCTTCCTTTCATGTTTAATCTTGGGCTGTTTCAGTGCTTTTGGCAACATCACATTTATTTAAAGAAAAAAAGTCATATTACAGCGTAATACCTCACAAATCCTGCAAACCTGTACACAGATAATAGATTATGAAAACAAGATATACCTCATTTATTTCATTTCTATTATTTTTATTGTGAAGCCACTTGAAAATTGATGGGGTTTTTTCAACAAATCACTGGATTCTTTTTTTCTATTTTGTATTGTTTTACCAAAGAAGGGAAATATATAATGAACACACATCTACCTCATTTGTTATAGACTGTGCCAACAACATATTCACAGCAGCCAGTTTTTAATCATAGCCTTTCTGGTCCAAATTCGCTTTTGCCTGCGTGGATTGTGCTGCAAAACCAGAGGCTGGACCACACTGAGCTCAACACAGCGTCATTTGCTTTGCTTGTTCGTTTATGTCAGTGGCATTTTTTATGCACGGAGGGAAATAAAAATACCAGAAGGATTCTATTTTATGTATACAACTGCTCAAATCAATTCAACATTGATTTGATCGAGGTCTTCTTTATAGTATGAATAGATGTTTGAATTAGATTTGAAAACATCTTATAAAAAATATCTTAAGTTAAGCTGCAACCTTTAGCATTTAATTAAGTGTTTTAGCTCACGGTTTGCAGCAGTTCCATTGATGCCAGTGTGTATGTCATCATTTCTGTTCACAACATAATGTGGCTTTCAAAAAATATATAACCTAATCTAAATCAAAACTAACGAAAAACTAAAAAAAATCCATTATTTTCTTTCACACTCTCTTTATTTGAATGTGGAGACATGCTCAGAACATGACTTATTTTTTACAAATACCAAAGATGTGACAATGTTGTTGGGTTGACAATTTCCAACCAATACTGTCATTCCTAACTTTTAATCTCAAACAGCAGAGAAATGGTTTCATTTGATCCTGCTGCTGCAAAACTTGATTTTATCCACTTGGATCAAAATGTTCTAAAAAAAAAAGCCAAGCTGTATATTCAATTAGTCTCAGTGCACAAATGGCAATCTAAGAATGTAATAGCAGTTTCCAGACTTTTAGCACAACTAACGATTAATGAAAACACCTGACCATCATTTTGTTGTTGTATAGGTGCAAGGATTAATGGAAATATATAGTCTATATTTATGTGGAATTACAGAGGGCACAATCAATGCACAATTGTCTGATTCCTGTTGTTCGATGTAATTTACCTCTTGATCAGCGTATGAAGAGACTGCTCTTATTTCTAGAGCAAATCCTGGACGAACTCTGGAGTGCTTGCTGACTGTGAAGCAAAAACATGAATCAGAGTGATTCCATAACCAAAGCTTTTACGAAACCACGCTCACAGGCTTACTGATGACGAACATTTGTTCATAAAAAGACTATCATTTTAATAAAGGTTAAGAAAAAATTAATCACTCATGTGCTTAAAGAATAACATGTTGTTTACCTTGTTTAGCTATGTCAACGATGCTATGCTGGTAGATTTTAGATCCTATTATACGCTGTGTATGAAGCTTATTTTCCTTTTATTCACTTTGGATAAATCCAGTGCATTATGGGAAAGCTGGATTGTGGTGCTCAGGGGTTAAAAAAAGAAGAAAAAAAACTGGTGAAAGATTTTTTTGTTTTGTTTGTTTGTTTTGCCATTGACTTGTAGCATAATTAGAAATAAAGTACTGCTTTCCACTTGAATGTCCAGTTGAGTTTTTCTTATAATTGCTGTAATTATTATATTATTATACTGTATATTTCTTCAAAACCTAACGAAACTTACCAATTCATAAAATTAACGGAATGCATAGCTGATATAAAAAATTGGATGACTAGTAATTTCCTACTACTAAATTCTGAAAAGACAGAGATTCTAATTATTGGACAAAAAACTTCCACACGTAATAACCTAGAATACTGTCTAACACTTGATGGCTGCTCTGTTAAGTCTTCGTCGTCGGTTAGGAACCTTGGTGTGCTCTTTGATACCAATATTTGAAAGTCACGTGTCTAGTATCTGTAAAACTGCATTTTTCCATCTTAAAAATATATCTAAAATACGCCATATGCTCTCATTGGGAAATGCGGAACAATTAGTTCATGCGTTCATGACCTCAAGGCTAGATTATTGTAATGCTCTACTGGGTGGTTGCCCTGCACGCTTAATAAACAAACTACAGCTAGTTCAAAATGCAGCAGCTCGAGTTCTTACCAGGAAGTATGACCATATTAGCCCGGTTCTGTCAACACTGCATTGGCTGCCTATTAAACATCGTATACATTTTAAAATATTGTTGATTACTTACAAAGCACTAAATGGTTTAGCTCCGCAGTACTTGAGCGAGCTTTTAAAGCATTATAGTCCTTCACGTCTATTGCGATCTCAAAATTCCGGCCAGTTGATAATACCTAGAATATCTAAATCGACTGCTGGCGGGAGATCCTTTTCCTATTTAGCACCAAAACTTTGGAACAGTCTTCCTACCATTGTCCGGGAAGCAGACACACTCTGTCAGTTCAAAGCTAGACTAAAAACACATCTCTTTGACCTAGCATACACATAATACATTATAGACTTCTATAATTCAATGTTAGGCTGCATAGATTAGGTCAGCCGGAACTGGGAACACTTCCCTTAAATCCAGATGTACTCGTTACATCATAAGAAGAATGGCATCTACGCTAATATTAGTGTCTTTGTTTATCCCGAGGTTTTCCCGCAGCCTGCCGGATCCAGGCCGTATCCAGATCTGACGAAGGAGATTCGCCTGGACCCGATGACAATGCAGTGCTGAAGTGTCAACTATCCTCTCCCTATGGAGGATCCCTTTCCCACTCTACAGATAAAGCGCTGTGAATTTCGGTTTGTGTACCCCGAAGTGATAAAATAAAACAAAATTCTGTATCAAAATGTATAGGCAAGACAAGTAGTTTGTTTAGGCATGGGTTGTATGGAATTACAAACCTGCGCCCACATATTTTCAAAAGCACATAACTATAGAATCAATTCTTAATGTGCATGTGAACGCCGTCAGCGTTAATCACAGGTTCATGTTTAAAGTCTGTTTAGAGAGAACGGCGTCATCTTAGCGGCCCCTAATTTAATAACAAATGATCATTTCGACGGAGATGAATCAATCAAAACTAACTTTAGCTGTAAATAACATTATTCAAGAACCGCTATAAAGCCAAAACAATCTCTGTTACCTTAAATTATATGTTTATCTCTGTAAAGCTGCTTTGAAACAATCCATTGTTAAAAGCGCTATATAAATGAAGATGACTTGACTTGACTTATTAGTCTTATTGGAAAAAAGTCTAATATTGGTTTAATATTTAATATTGGTCTTACATTTTATAGAGGGAAACAAAGCTGAACATAAAAACGGAAATAGGATGCCTATTTACACTGCCGTTCAAAAGTTTGGGGTCAGAAAAGATTGTTTTTTAAAATCTCTTATGTTCACAAAGGCTGCATTTATTTTATCAAAAATACAGTAAAATCTCTAATATTGTGAAATATTATTACAATTAAAAATAACAGTTGTCTTTGAATATATTTTAAAATGTATTCCTGTGATGCAAAGCTGAATTTTCAGTATCATTACTCGTCTTCATCAGTGTCACATGATTCTTTAGAAATCATTCTAATTTGCTGATTTGCTGCTCAAAAAACATTTCTTATTATCAATGTTGAAAACAGCTGTGCTGCTTAATTCGTTTTTCTTGTTGATTCTTTTATGAATACCAAGTTCAAAACAACGGCAGTTTGAAATATTTGTGTAACATTATGAATGTCTTTACTGAATGTCTTTTGATCAATTTAATTTGTCCTCGCTGAATAAAAATATTAATTTCGGTTACACTTTATTTTAAGGTGTCATTGTTACAGTGTAATTATATATCTAAGTACTGAGTAATATTAAGCAACTACATGTACTTACTATAGGGTTAGAGTAGGATTAGGATTTGGTTGAGGGTTAGTCGCATGTAATTATGCATAATTTACTGTTATACTGTTATTACTATGGTAAGTACATGTAACATATGTAACAAGGACACCGTAAAATAAAGTGTTACCTTCATTTCTTTTAAAATAATCTTACTGACCCCAAACTTTTGAACAGTACTGCATATGTTGGCAGATGCTTTTATCTAAAGCTAATGTCAAATGATTTTAACATGAACTTGACAAAATCCACACTTTATTCCAGAGTTTAAGTTTGGAATACTAATGATAGCTTACTTAATTGTTGATCAGCCCATGTTTACTTACAAATGATTGTGTTAAAAAGTTGTCCACTCAAAAGGCAAAATGAGCAACAAGTGTTCATTAATCGACAAGATGTATATAGCGCAAGACGGCCTTCAATCTCATTATGTTCATATTAAAACATAATGAGATTGAGTGGAAACAGCAGATGGTCCTGAATTTAAAAGAACAGCTGCTCTGCTTTATAGAGCGAATATCAGCAATTCGTTTCCACAGTAACCACAAAGAACAAATGGAAAAAGACCGGGACAGAAAAAAGTTGACTCAGCTGGACAAAGGTCAAAATCCCGCACTGCAAACGCAGGCAATTAAACTAATGATGCCAGGGTGTGTGCAGCATTAAGCAGCTAAAATGGAGTAAAGATCGCTTCATTAAGACCCAAGAACCTGATGTAATTAGGAGTAGGGCCAAGATTAGTGTCTGTCAATGGTTTTTCCTGGGATTTGCAGGTAATAGAGTTATCATTGAGGCTCAAGGAGTGTTACATTACACTTCGGAATAAACAAAAACAAATTAGCAGCGTCGTCCAATAATGGGTTATCTTGTCAGGGCCTGACAGAAATCCATGCCCTATAACACAGTGTTAATTTTATGCATCACTGACAAGCACCTTCACAATCAATGTAGGTACTATAAAGTCAGGGAGACCATCAATTCAAGTTCAGGACAGGTAGACGAAGAGTTTTGTGAGGCCAATGTGTAATGGAGCCAAAAGTATTGTTTGTTAAATTCCATTTTTTACTTTAAAAACAATAAAATGCATTAAAGTCTCAATCCATATAACAATTACAGCAGTGCCATTGTAAACTATATGTCAGTGCACAACAATAATGTTTTTTTTCTAAGGCACGTTGATGTTTATAAATCTGTAATGTCCTAATTTAACTAAGGCCTTCTCCTGGCATAATCTAAGTCCTGTCTGTGAAACCAGGCCATGTACTTTCTCTTGTTAACTTTAAGTTGCATTAAAAAGTCATACACTGTAAAAAGTGATTGGTTGATTTAACTTTTAAAAAAAAGGTGAGGAAACCCGTTGCCTTAAAATTATTACGTAAATAAACGTCATGCGTAATTGAAAAGTTATGTGGAATTGTCAAGTTCATATAACTTCATTTTTTTCAATTACACATGAGGTTTAAGGCAACTGGTTTCCTCACTTTTTTTAAGTTAAGTCAACTGATCACTTTTTACTCTGTAGGAAAATTCCACTTAAAAGCAGTAGAGATGGATCGATCTGATATTTATCCTTTACTTTCAAAAGGCCAGTCATGTCTTAGACTGTTAGCAGAGATGTTCTTCTTTTTTTCTTTTTTCTTTTTTTTTTAAAATAAATTTAGAACAGTATTACTGACGGGCATTAAACTGGTCATGTGTCCAAGAGGTTAGATTACCCTGCCTTATTGGGTCATCTGAGAACATCTAATCCGACTGCATATTACCTGTTGTCTAATTTCATTTTAGTGCCTGAACTTCTGTTCCAGCAAGAGAATAATGTCAATCAATAAGATTAATTATGAATATGATGATTTGTCATTCATGGACAGCACAGGGATGTTTATTATCAGGTGTAATTGATCACTATCTTCTTTGAGGCTTCCTGATTAAGGAAAGGGAAAACTCCCCCACCTAAATCAAATGAAGCCACATTATTATGTTGTGGGTTATTTTCACTCATCTTACACACTGGCTGATGAGCCATAGATAAGAGAAACAACAACAAAGATGCTGTTTTCATCCACTGCTGTCCTGGTGACCATTGATTCAGCGGTGAACTTTGACCTCAGGAGCAGGATTCCTCACAGAATCACCTCATGGCTGTCAGAGATGATTAGCTCAGCTGATCTAAGAGCACAGGCTTTGGGCTGCCAATACCAATTAGCAACCAGCATATACCAGCGATGGTATCATGTTCTGAATACTGATTAATTGGCTTCCAAACTTTATTCACAACTTTTTTTCTTTGAGGGAAGACTCAAACAATAGTGACTACATATCTGTCATCATTGTTATTATGAGAGGCATAATTGGCTACTGTATTTTTATCTGCATGAGTGAACTGGTAATGGTAAATATGAATAACTTCTATATCATTTGAAACATTCACCAATGATCTCAAGACATTTGAAAGATTTGTTTCTGAAGTTCATTGAGTTATGTAAGAGATCATGTCTACTTCCATAAAGAACATTTAACATCCATGGAACCTTTCCATTGCACAAAAGGTTCTTTATGGTGGGAAAAGTGGTTCTTTAGATTATTAAAATATTCTTCACACTAAGGAGTCTTTAAAAACTGTTCACTCAGTTATTTGGGGAACCACAAATGGCTATTTTAAAGGGATCATTCACACTAAAATGAAAATTAAGTCACCATTTACTCACCCTGGTGTTGTTCTAATTCCGTATGCCCTTCTTTCTATTATAGACC